TGAATCTTTTGCAATTCAATTTACAACTTTATATGTTCAGAGATATCTTTTTTTTTTTTTTTGAAATTTTTTGATGGTTCTATTTTGCCACCAGACCTATTAGGGTTCTAGTGTTCACAAAAATATGAGAAGATTGTTGGGGGTTGGCAAGAGGTGTTAAACATTTTGATGGAAGATAGAAAATTCTAAAGATTTTAAGACTTATTCTAATGACTATATAGGAACCAGAGAGAGTTCTAACGCCCAAATAACAACTATAAAAATTTGAAGGGACCAACTTTTCGGATTGGTTCCAATCAGCTAAGATGTCTAATGGAGGACATGGCAAACCATGGTCCCTTCCAAGAAGAAAAGTGGAGCCACAAGAAAATGATCCCACATATGGACAATGGGAGTAAGAATATTTACTTGTAATATCCTTATCCTTACTAATTTGTTTTAAGCAGCCCGCATTGCCCATAACTACATATGTATTACTAAGGAGAATAGTTTTCAAGGCAAGGCAAGGCAAGGCAAGGCGCCTTGTCAGCTAATCACCTAGGCGATGGATTTTTTATATAGAAAGCATAGATCCTAGGAAAGTTCCCTAGGTACCATAGCCATATTTCCTTAATAATTATTCATAATTTTCATAAGAAAAGTATAGAGTTCATGTTAAAGTATGGAAAATCAACATATTCATGAGAAGAAAAAAAAGAAGGAAAAGAAAATTCAAAAAATATGGGGGCTGAACCCTTATTTTTGTTATAGGAAAAGAAGAAAAAGAAATAGTAGTAGAAAATGTGTTGATTAGACAAAATTTTAAGTTCTTCCTTATTGGTTCAGATTTTAAAGTCTTTGAGGTTCAATACAGCATTTAGCATTGTTTGTATTGGTTAAATCCTAACAAATAAGAAAATAATAAAAACAAATTAGTATATAAACACACAAAATGAATATTTTAGTTTAACAGTGCCTATTTTATAATTATAATGTCAAAAAATAAAGAATAAAAAAGTATTTTACAATACATGGTACAAAACTGCTTGGCGATTAGGCGAGGCAAGCCTCAAAGGGCGCCTTGACAACTATGCTAAGGAGAATGGAATAGGGTTAGCTGTTGTGCCACCTAGTCTTAAGCAAAACACAAGTAGAATGTTGTATTTATTTGGTTTTCAAGGGAAGATTGAAAATAAATGATTCTTTCCCTCTCTTTATGAAGAATGCTTGTCTTATTTGTTTTTCATTTTTACCTCTTATCCTAGCCTCTTGAAGCATGTTTAAGCACCTTGCCCCGCATTGCTTGCGAACAAGGTTTAAAATATTGATGTGTATCGGCCTGTATCGAAGCTCGCCCTGAACCAGGTCTAAGGCTGGTCTACTCCCTGAACCAGGTCAGACCCCAATCTGACCCCTGTAGGGGCGTATCATTAAGCCACCGATACAATACGATAAGCCCGATATGGGGTGTATCGTATCGAAATTTTGAACATTGCTTGGGAAAAGTGGTGGTGTTCATCAGCTTATAAGTTAACTTGTTATTGCTTTGGGTAGAGAACCATTGAAGGTGAATACACTATACATTGTTCTCACATGTTTGTGGGGGATTGCAGGTGCTTCTCACAATGTGCATGCATCGAACCAGGCTGAGCCAGATCAGGGCATAGGTGTGGGTGTACACAAGCCACACCGTATCCTTTTTAAATGAATTTTGATTTAAATGTTTAAGTTACGACTATTTAACCTGTCTAACTGTTTTTTAATCTATTTAAGCGGTTCTTTGGTTTAAATTGTTGTCTTCTTCTTTATGTATCTTCAAATAGGTGCTTGCCAGTGTTCAGGAGAGATACCTCTCTCTCTATTGGGGCACTTTTGTGTCCACTCATGTGTCTATAAATTCTCTATAAATAGAGAGTTGGACAACCAAATGGCGTGTGCACACACACACACAATACAGACAACTCTACTTCTATAAATGAATGTGGTTTTAAAGGATAGTGACTAGGAGTGTTTCATAGTGTTTTGCAACTCAGACTAGATATTTCACAGCTTGTAACGGTTCAGTTTTGCGCCAAAACAATAAGTTCCATTCTCTCCCTTTATTTATATTTATAATGGTCTTAAAACCACATTCACATATGGAACCTATCTCCACTGCCGCTATAATGGAAAACCGGATATTGTCCATGGTTCCAGATTTATCCAAGATTGAACCTTTCAACGGAACCAACTTTAAATGTTGGAGACAATGTATGCTTTTTGCAATAGAACAAACAGGGGTAGTCTTTGCTTTGACTGAACTAAACCCATCAAACATAGAACCAGCCCACTCTTTGTTGTTGAACATTGTCCAATGAACTCTACAATGCCTACTGTTATTAGTGCTTTTATTTCTATAAATTTCTTGAAATTAATAAACATATTTAGATATAAAAGTTAATTAGTGGATTCGATAGATTATTCATTTCATTAACGCTTATAAAATACTAATTTAAAGATTATTCTATTTTAATTTTAGTTGAACATAAATATATATTATTATTTGTAGTGTTGTTCCCATGCTGTCTTCCTTACCCATCCTAGGTATGGGTGTGAATTCTGATTCTGATTTTGGTACTACTACTAATCCTTGTACTGTGTCTGTAGCCTGTTTTCCAAATTCCGAGGTAGATGTTAAGCCACAAAGCCTAGAAGCCTGGAGGAACAAAAGTGGGTAGGGAGTTGGGAAAAGAGAGTGATGAGGAAAGGGAAAGGAAAATTTGGGAATTAATAGAAAATCTTTTGGAGGAATTAAAAAGGAAGGAATTGGAGGAGGATTATAATAACAGCAAGATGGACGGAGGAGATTCAACTTCCAGTATGAGGGGTAGAGGGAATGGAGATGAGGGAGGTAGGGAGAAGGTAAGAATATTAATGAAACTGAGAAGATTTTATGGATGATTTTGTAGGAAAACTGGGATGTAGCCAGAAAGACCGAAATGAATTAAAAGTCTTTCTAAGAAGAAGAAAGGATGAAGGAAAGGTGAGGAAAAAGGAAGTTAGTCCGGAAGACTAAAACTTGATGTAAAAGGGGATAAAGAATTTAGTGAGAGAAAGGGGAGAAGAAAGAACAAGTACCGGGCAGAGTAAAAGGGGACTGATTGTGAGTTAAATGATGATCTTAAGATGGAATGTGAGAGGGCTGGGGAATGTAAGAAATAGGGCTATAATAAAGTATTTAGGAAAGAAGATCAAGATGCAGTGCTTGTCCAGGAATCTAAATTAGCAAGATTTGACTAAAGGTGGGCTTAAAGTGTATAGAAGGCAAGGTGGGCTATAATTGGGCAATGTGTCCATCTTGGGGAGCTTCAGGAGGAATGGTGGCCTTGTGGAATGAGGAGTTGATGGAAAGAGCAGAAGAACTTATTGGAAACTTTACAGTTTCCATGAAGTGTAGACAGAGTGATGGATGTTGACAAATATATATGGCACAAATGGATATGAGAAAGACAGGGTAAATTGGGAAGGAACAAAGTTCCATTGGAAATTAAAGGAATTAAAGGCCAAGATAAAGGAATGGAACATCCAACAATTTGGAAGGATTGAAGAGAGGAAACAAGAGATTATAAACCAAAATGCGGATTTGGATGCCAAGGAAGAGGAAGGGACATTTGAAGAAGGGATAAAGAGATGAGATGGGCCCAAGGATCAAAGTATTGGTATCGAGTATCGTATCAGGAACTTGGATACAAATATGGATAAGGATACGGATACACTTGGGAAACACATGGATACGGACAAAAAATATGGAAACGCTTGGATACGCTAGGGAAATGCATAGAAATTCCATAAATATATTAATAATATTAAGTTAATGCCAAAGTAACAATAAATAATGTATAAATACATAGGAATTGTATATTTTAATGGTATATATGAAGAAATATATTTTATTGATAATGCATCAATCAAGAATCCAAGACACATTATATAGATTATTAGAAATTAATACATGCGAAAATCCATTATTATTTTATTTTCTATTAAAGTCGAAGGCATAAAACATATGCAACTATTATTTGAATTATTACATCAATCTTTTCTATTTTACCATTTTTAAAGTTTAACATTACCAAAAAAATCAACTAAAAAATTAATTCTCAAATGTTCAGTAAACAATATTTTCATTTTTAAAAAAATAAATATGTTATATAAAATGTAAAGTAAAATATTAATTAACAATTTATAAAAAATATATAATCTTAGCTTAAAATATATCAAATATATTAAAATTTGAAGATACATATCATATGAAAATTCATAAATTTTAATTACCAAAATAATTATTCCATTATTAATATTTTTATTTTTATAAATTTTCTAAAATACAAAATTATTTTTATATAAATGTAGATTAGTGGATTTGATTAATTCAATTTATATTATATTCTCAAATATTTTGTAAACAATATTTTTATTTTTATAAATAATAAATACATTGTTATTTAATGCAAATTAAAATATTAATTAATAATTTATTAAAATTTTAAGATACATATCATGTGCAAATTTATAAATTTTAAGTATTAGAATAATTATTCTATTATTAATATCTTTATTTGTATAAATTTCTTGAAATTAAATCATTTTTTGATATATATGTGGATTTGATAAATTATTTATTCCATTGGTTCATAAAATACTAATTTTGAAAATGATTCTTTTTAATTTGTAGTTGGAGTTGTTGAATATAAGTGTATGTGAAGAACAAGAAAAGATAGCCAATGTGTTCTTCATCTACAACAGTCACAAAATTTCACAAGCTACCTAAAAAAAAGCTTTGCAAAGTTCTTGTAAAGAAAGTCAGATAAGTAGGTGAAGAACAAAGAATCAAGTGAAACTTGTGTGAAATGAAGAAAGAAAAATATTTTTTTCTAGAAGTGGTTACTACTTACTAATTGTAAACTTGAGCAACTATAATACCTTCCAAAAAATAACGATAGGTAAAATGACTAACCCCAAACATCAATTTCAACACTTACATGATCCCAAATCTTGAGAACTGTGCAATCCAAGTACTGATGCCCAAGCTTCATCCTACATGCAAATTAAGGTTAGAATCACATCCTTAGAAGATTCACAAGGATCAATAGTTGGATCCATACAGAGAAATATAAGATTAAGAACATAAACAACACAGGCAAACCGATTTTTATAGTGAAAAAACAAATCATTAAAATAGAAAAGGTTACAAGCAATTGGGTACAATATCTTAACATAACGAAGTGTGAAAATAACACAGCATTACAATGAATAAAAACTCTCTTTTCACAATGGAATATGCCCTAATATCCAGAACCAAAAATAACCTGAAGTTCCCCTATTCATATCATTGAATTCAGAATGAGTTAACATACTCAAGTTTCACCTAAGGGTGCAACTTGGGTCAGGCCAGGTAGTTGAAGCTTGGATTACAATTAGGGTTGAAGAATATAAACTTCGTGTTGGGTTAGGCTTGAGGCCTTGGCCAACCCGAACCTAACACGCCTTCGTGTTTTAATTTATAAATGTTACATAAATATACATGCCTGCATGCATGCAATGAATTATGTGTTCATGAAGACATGTATATCAACAAYTATAAGTTTGAAGGCAAAAATTTTCTAGTGTATATAAGTACATTACACCTGAATCACCATAACTGTGTACTTATACATATTATAATGATGAAATCAGTGAACTTTAATCTGATAATCTTGAGTCTATGAAATAAGAACATTTCAGTAAAATGAAATAAAGAAATCAGATCAACCTGAAGCCAAACCAAGCCCAACCCAATCCCTAACCAAACCCAAAAAATGTCAGGTTGGGTTAGGGATAGGATTGGGCTTCAACAACTCAGATTGGCTTTGGGTTGACCTCAACTTAACCTAACATGACCTGACTTGCATCCCTAATTCCACTCTAATCACGTGTGTTGTAGTAATAAAAAGGTGTCTATAGCTTTAGGTGTGTGCAGCTAATGATTCTCTTGCTCCAATCTCAAGGAAGGGAAATATTAGTATCCAATAGTTAGACTCTTCTATCAGTTCTTCATGTTCCCAAACTTGGTACAAATTTATTTTTCATTACTAGCCTAACTAAGAATTTGAATTTCTTAGTGACAACCTTCCCTGATTGTTGTGCATTTTAGGATCTAGACCCTAAAAGGACAGTTGAGAGTGGTTATAAGGCAAATGGGATATACCAGTTGGATGTGCTTGGCTGGAACTTCACCAAAATCTCTTAGGGTTTATATATTTTTGAAACAACTAAAAGATCACCAAAAACACTGTACTTACATAGTACCTAGACTTATAGATAATAAGCAATAACTCTCTTCACATCTTTTATATCATGAATGTGACACAACACCTACTTGTCATATCCTGCAGGATTACGTCATAGGTAAGTAATCCCTTTGACCTTTTGTTCAACTAGCTATGCCATATAACAAAGAAATGCTAAACCTAAACTAAACTGAACCCTACTAAGAACCAAAAAAGCTACAAAATATTTGGACAGGAAAATTACAAAAAATACCCATGATGGCCAGAAATTAAACAAAACAAAACAATGATTTGGAAGATTAATAATTCTGTCTTTTCACATGGTAATTTATTACACCTCTTTCCTCAAACTTTGCTTTTCTCTCATCACATCAATTTGGAGGCAACTCTGAGTTACTTGACAAACTAAGAGTCAAACATGTGAGATGAAACAGTATGAATTAAGGGAACTACCTGACCAAAGTGAAAAGTGCTTTCAGAATAAAGATTGTAAGTAACCCCAACAAGTTCAATCACCCGTGAAAATTGAATTGGCAGAGATCCTCTTGGAGAAAATGTTACCTGCATACAGAAGTACATAAGGTGAAAAATCAAGCATAAATCTGTTTTTTTCTTTTTTTTTTGATATCTTTTGAAGGGCTACACAATGGGGGGTGGCCCATCCCCCAACCCAGGTGCAGGCAGGATTCAATCCCAAGTCTCTGCTATGACCAGCAGGAGACCATACCAACCAGCTGGTTGGCACCTTGCAAGCATAAATCTATTCAACATATATCATCTCCCAATGGTTAACAGCATTCTAGATTTCTCAGAAACCAAATTATTTATTTACTGTTCATAGTAAATAATAATTTTATTAAAACAAGGAGAAAGTATACAACTTACAAGATGCATAGAGGAACCATCGTGTAAATTGTATACTTAGAACTCTTTACGGAATATAAATCGAACAACACCCAACCTGACAGCCATCTCTGTACCTAGACACTTCAACAAATGAAGCCTGCAATGCCTAGAGAAGGCCATTTTAAATCTAGACATTAGGACCACCAAAACACCATCTCAGATACAAAACAAACCAACCCCTGAAACAAATGCAAAGAAAAGATCAAAGCCATACAATCAACTCTCTACCACCTCAAACACAATTGAACAATGCTTTAATACTTTCTCCCGCCATGACCACTGCCTCTAGTGCTTTCAAAGATTCCTCTGCCCACCTTCTTGCAACCACTCCTCTTGTGCTCTAATACAACCTTGATATAGGAACAACTACTCTAATACCAAATTAACGGATGGTTATCACTCAAAGAATAGATTAAGAGGGCAGTAATGGGATAGAAAGTGATGATTTTAGGACTAAATGATAAATAAGGATTGGAAAGGTTCTAAGCCCAAGCAGAGAACTGCATATTTTCTGAAGACCATGGGCATATACAAACTACCCCTTTTGTGTAGAAGCATGAAAAGAAATAAACAAATGTCTTTTGGGTTAAATTTTAATCTATGAGGACCTAAAATATGAATATAACATGTACATGCAAAGACTCTTTAAAGGAATAGGAAACAGGTCATCATTAGGACATATTGCAGTAAGAATAGCATCCCCATAAAACCGAATAGAAATATGTGAAATAAATATGATACTCCTTATCACACCAAGAATATGGTGAATCTTTATTTCAGCCACCCCATTTTGTTGAGGGGTGTAAATACAAAAACTCTAGTGAATAATCCCATGATCTAGCAAATAAGTAGCAAGAGTACAGGAGCTTCCAGAGTAGAAAGGATGGCAAGGCATCATCCTAAATGCATAGCATGACCCAACAAACTTAAAATAGCAAGTACACTTATCCTCAAATTAAGAATTGAAGACTATGAACCAAATAAACTTGGAAACAGATCAATCAAAAAAAAAAAAAAAAACTTAGAAACAGAAAAGATAGACCAAAAGCACCTATTTCTTTGTCATCAGTTGTTATTTGATAGAGATGTATAATCCTCATGGAAGTGAGAAAACCTGCTCTTTATTTTAATGAAAGGGAAATCAAATAAAGCTCTATCTCAAAAACTGATGCAGAAGCATCTTAAAGCATCTAAAAGAGTAGCTAATTATTTGGTGTCAGCACCCGATTTTTGTTCGGTCCCTTCCTAAACCCACAATACATACCCCAAATGCCTGATCAGACCATTCTGATCTTTTCAAAATACCTAAAAAACCTAGGGAACCAAATATTAGCAAGAAATACCCAAGATCCACCGTTAAACCTGTCCAACTTGATCCAATGGCCTTGCTCAAACCCCACCCACATTGTAACCATCAAATCACTTTTTGATTCAAAACCTGAAAATACCAATTCAAATCAAATTTCAGCCCCAAACTCCATAACCTCACCCTCTATCCACTATAGATTCCATTTTAGCGTTTCTGATTAAACGAAACCTTCAAGGTTTAAAACTGCTCAACCACATCTCACCAATCACATCAAACTCTACCACTAACCAAAAGCCCATACTCAGCCATCATGCAAATTTTCGCGGCAAAACTTCTCCATTTGACCCATTAACAATCCAAGATGCAACCTTTGATGCTTTCAGATTTTGAAAATCTATCTTTTCCGCTATGCAGCCATCATGCAAAATTTCTACCCATCCATTTGAAAATCTATCTTTTCCGTTAGATCCCATCAAACACCTATCATGCATTTTCACCTTTGATCTTCACCATCTGGCTTTCCATCAAACCTAGATTCCATTTCAAGCATCCTTATTAATCATAATACCCATACTCCAAATCACCTTGAAACCAACTCTTATAGACCAATCAAACCCTGCCAATTGTCCAAGACCCTCGAAAACCCTACCCAGTCAAATTCCAGCCCAAAATTCCTCTATGTACCCCTCCAAAACTAGATTCCATTTCAGCCTATTCCATTGGTTAGAACACTTTTGCCTCACATTACCCTAATCCAAACACATTTAAACTAATCAGACCATGTCAATTCGTCCAAGACCCTTGGAAACCCTACCCAGTCAAGTTTCATCCCAAAATTCCCTCATCGGTGCCTCCATTAGACAAAGATTCCATTTTGAGCCTTCTCATTGGCCCATTCATTCATCCTTCAAATCCCATTGATCCAAACATAGTTGAACCAACCAAGCCCTTCCATTGGGTCTAAAACACTCAAAAACCCCACCTTGACAATTTTCACCCAAAAATACCTTCATTTGCCACCTTAACTAAAAAGATTCCTATTCTATTGGCGCAGAACCTAAAGACCTTCCTACACCCTCAGGACCCATCTTCATCGTCCATAACTGATCCCAAAATCTAGCCCACCCAATTGTAACCATTTTTGTCCTCACCTACCCCAAGAATAGCTAAAATGCCCCTAAAACCTTACAAAATCATGAAACTACCCTTCTTCCCTAATATAAAATTCACCTAAAGTTTTCATTCAAATTAAATTTTCAAAAGGCTACTCTTCATCGCTTTCTCTCCCACCAACAAACTCGACCACAAAGGCAACCTACCCCATTGCTTCTCTCCCTCTATCTTTTTCTCTTTCTCCTTCTTCTCCTTCCTTCCCTACATCCCCACTGCTACAACCGAACCAAAGTATCGCCACCCTCCTCTTCCTTTCTATGCTTATCTTTCTTTCGGTTCCTCTCTATCCTTTCTTCTTAGTTTTTCATTCCCTTTTTTCTCTTCCTTTGCTCATTTTTCAAAAGAAAAAACAGGGTATTGTTACCATCGCTGACCATCAACTAATTCAAATCTTATTTTCCCTTTCCTCCCATTGGAACTACATCAGAATTTCATGGAATCTTCTCAATCTACCATTGTCGACCTCTTCAACATAACTGGCATCTTATCCCATAGAATTTGATTAACCGGGTTTTGTCTTAGATCCTCATAAGCATCTTATCGTTTGAATAGCAGCATCGCCTTATATCCAAGAAGGCTACATTTGAGAAGACAAATCTCTCTTGCTTCCTAACTTAGCAACCATAGTACTAGCTTGATATGGTGGGATTACTTTCAAATCCGCTGAATAATTTCAGTTCCTTTGAACTTATTTGATCGAGGATTTATATTCGGTTGATATCTCCCATTACAGAGGTTGCCTCCATTCCCCAGTAAGTTCCAGCACTTCATTTATTTAATTAATGCCATTCTGAAACTCAATAAGGCGTGTTTTAATTTTGTTATTCTGTTTGCTATCCTTTTCTTCCCAATCTTTGTTTTGCTTAATATCAAGTCAAACAATGATCCCATACTGTTATATCTATACTGAATTGATGGTGTTTTTGGGTATTTAACTATAGATTAGTGTAATTAACTAGGAAGTGCCCTGTCATTCATATTTTAACTTTACCCTTTAAATATCTTTTCAGATTGTGATTTAGTCATGACAGGTTTATGGTTTAACTTCCTTAGTTTGGCTGATCATTAGTTTCACTTTTTGGGTCTCATTCTCCTTGAATAAATTCTCTCGGGGATTTGCACCATGTTCTCCTTGCTCTAATTTCCCGTACGTAGAAATGATTGTTTCAGTTTATATCTAACTCAGCTAATTCAGATTGTTTGCTAATGGATTAACAGGTGAGTGCATCGCCCATGATAGATTGTCCAAGCATCCTAAATTATAAAATCCAAAATTCCATAAATTTGTTGTTTCCTTTTACCCTAGCTCCATTTGTGTTTCATATATATATCTTTAGACCTCGAATGCAAATTGATCTCCAATTTATCTGATTGTTAGTCATTTTCTTTTTTATTATTTTAATGTCTAGCGATTGAATTAAATCTGGTATGTGGCCTTGCCATTTTAGTTTGGACAGACTGTTGAAATCTTCTTGTGTTTTGTTGTATGGCTTTAGGAAGTGATGGGATGAAAAAAAAAATCTGAAACCATAGACTGATCACACATCTTATAGGGTAATAAGTGTTCTTCTTTGTTTTCCTACTTTCATTTGCTAAAGTCCTCATTTAGTTTTGAACCATGAAATGTTCCTTTGTAGGTGTGACCGTAGGCTTCTTCTAGATTAACCAAGGTGGCCTTAATAAACATATTAAAATAATACTAAGTAAAATAAAATAGGAAATGAATGATAAAAGAAGTAGAAAAGTTGGGCTTAGGAATTCTGAATGTGAATCTCTTATGTTTTAGTTGGCTAGACTTGAGTCAATTTATTTGGATCAAAATTTGGAGGACAACAAGGTGTGGTTAATATCTCCAGTTGGATCTTCCACTTGTGCTTCCTTTTTCAATTTCTTAACACAACTTACTGCCTTGGGGGTGAACTTCGAGGTAAAAAGAAATTTAGAGCAAGCCTTTCCCTCCTAAAATTCAGGCCCTCTGTTGGGATATCTTTCTTGGGAAGATCAACACCTGTGATGTGCGGCAAGAAAGAAGGCCAAATAAATGCCTATCCTCTCACATGTGTTCTCTCTACTTGAGTAGTGGTGAAAGAATTTCCCATATTTTTATTTCCTATTCCTTTATGTTTTGTATTTGGGAGCAATTTTGTTTTCTTTTTGGGTGCAAATGGACTCCTCAAGATGCGGTGGGCCTTTTTGATCCTAACTTCTTGAGACAGCAAACAAAAAGAGGAAGATTACTTTGGAAAGCAACGAGAGCAGCTATGGTTTCAACTATTGGGGAAGAAAGAAATGAGTTAATTTTCAATGATAAGAATAGGACTCAGGCAGAAATCTTTGAATCTTTGATTTAGTTAAACTAAAAGCTACACACCGGGTGAAAACATTGGATGACTTAAAAATTCATGTGGAAAGAGGTGGTACTATTGGCTCAAGACAAGGCGAGGGTAGTGATGGAGTGGAAGCCCCTGGCCCCCAACTTCATAAAACTCTTTGATAGAAGCTTTATTGGCAACAGGGGGATTGGCTATAATAGGGGGTGTTTTTTCAGTGATACAGAAGGTAGAGTGGTGGCCTTGTATCCAGGACCCTTGGACCATGATGATGCTTTGACAGCAAAACTGGTCAGTTTACTGCAGGGGATAAGGCTTGCAAAACAATTGGGCTTCCACAATATAAAGGTGGATGGGGATTCTCAAGTAGTTGTCTCATGCACCAGAAACAGTTCCCAGATCCCTTGGGTCTTCCGGTATAAATTCAGAGAGATTGTAAGCCTAACAAGGGAGCTAAATGTTGCCTTTAAGTGGGTGAGAAGAACACAGCAAATGGAATGGTAGACTCTTTGGCTAAATAAGGGGCTGTGAGACAGCAAATGTTTTGGGCAAACAAGGGGCTATGAAAGAATAACCATTTTCTCCCTTGCTTAGGTCTTTGAGCTTTCTCATTTTACATTGATTGAGAATTACAGGCTTTGTGTTTATGCTTATTTTGAGAATCCCCCATGCAGACCCCACCTATGGGAAATGGGAGAGGGGTGCCTGACCCCTTCCCTCTCTCATCCAATTCTTACCCAAACCTGCTAAGCCAGTACCTTCCTATACAAAATCACTATAAAGACCAAAATGGGATTTCAAAAAAAAAAAAAAGGAGGCCCATCACTCCCTATTCATTCTCCTTGATGGATAGTGACTCCAAATCAGTCCAAGTAAGCCATTTTCTGACGATCCAGATTGGCGACTCCACTGGGGAGGATCTTGGACCATAGGTGGGGTCCACATGGGGAACCATTTCTCTTAGTTGCTTTTATTGTGAATAATCCCTCTGCTTCTAGTTATTATTTTGTTTCATGTTGTTGGATGTTATTCTTGTTATTGGCTTGATAGTTAAATGATATTTTGTTTCTTCCTTTGAATGTCCACTCACACACTATCTGTACACATCATCTTGCATTAGATTTAGGATCCCATGTCCTATTAGGAGAGGGGTTAGTAGGTGGAAGATTGTTTGGACTTTGTTCCTCCTATGTCGTATCAAAAGCCCCCAAACCATCCACCAGCCAAAGAAGCCTGTCATCCGATAGGTGAAGGCTTGAAGGTTGGCAACCTTGTTGGAGGCATTGAGTCTAGGTGTCAATCCCTCCCCGTTTCTTTTTCCTGCAGAGAAACACACCAGCTGTTTCCTTCCATTCTCAAAAGACTCGACAACAGAGATGAAACTTCATTTTGTGTTGTTCTTTCTCTCTGCAGCAAATCATCTCCCTTCCACTTCTTTCATGCTCTTCTAGTTTGAATCTCTACTAGTTTGAAAAGCTACTTCTAAGAAATTTTTAAACCACTCAAGTACATCTCTCCAGAAAAACCTATGCCATTCCCTTCTCCCTAATCCTCACTGTGAGTTTCCCATTGACTCTGAACTCCTCGGACATAAAGTTTTTATCTTCAATCTTCAAAAAAGCATCTCAAGTGGACCTCCTTCAGAGAACTCTCCATTAATGTCAGTATTTCTGCTTTCAATGAGTCACCAATGCCAATCGGACCTGAAGCATCACTTGGCCTGATTCATTCCTAAAAAGTGTTTCCATGGGTTTATCTAGAAGATCAGTCTCATGTAACAGATTCATTGACTTAGAATAGTAAGTTGTGATTATAGAAAGCCGCAAACTATGAGCCACAAGACTTCAAAACTTGGCAATCTCTCCAGTCATGAAAACATACAATGATTCCTAGAATGTAAATTACAGAACAAAATGACAATTTATGATGACAGATAGCAAACAGAACCTGAATAGAACCTTCAGCAAGTTGAATTATTCCTGTGGTTTCCTTAGGATCACCTCCCAAGGTTCCAAGAGCATAGTTTGCAGCAACCCAGGCATAAACACCTTCTTCCTGACCTACATCAAGATTTCATTGAAAGTCCCATTTGGATTACTTGGCATTTTTAGCAACAAAAAGATAAATTCTATTAAATGATATGAAGATACAACAGTACATTGACATCAAAACCTTCGCTTTGATCCTAAACATAGGAAAAGAAATGGAAAATCCCAAAATTTATTAAATATTTGCAAGTAGAGGGAAGATTTTTAACTTTTCATAAATGAAAAATTTTTCAGTATCAATTGTGACATCTTGCAAGTAATAAAAGAACTTTTTCCCATTGTTCACTGATGTGCATGTACTTTACCCATGATGCATTTGGGGATATCTGATACTTTATTACCACCATAGATGATTTCTCCAAATTTACTTTGGTTGTATTTGTTGAAATCAAGATACAAAGCTCTTCACGTTGGTCATCAGTTTTACCACTATAGTTCCACCTCCTATTCCTCTTCCATCCTCTTCCTCTCCTACTACTGACATCTCTACCAGCAAGCAACTTCAAGTTTAAAATAGAAGGTGGAGCAAGAAGACAGAAGATTAGTGACACCACACATCTTGCTTCTATCCCCATACCTAATGATTTTAATGTTCAAATTGCTATTAGGAAAGGTCTCATAGTTGCACTCAACACTGTATTTCTAATTTTATATCATATTCTTTCAGCACTTCTTTTTGTAGTTTTCTATGTCATTTATTCTGATTCTATTACTCGCAATCTTGCAGAAGAAATGTCAAAACTTGAGTGGAGGAAGGCTATGGAAGATGAGATACGTGCTCTAGAAAAAAGATGTACCTGAAGGCTGTACAGTGAAAATGGGTTTTTACCATTCAAGTATAAAGCTAATGACTCAATAGAAAGATGCAAGGAGAGATTGTTGCAAAAGGATACACCCTAATGTATGGAATCAACTAATTAGAAACTTTTGCACCAGTAGTGAAAATGAATTAAATTCAAGTTCTTCTTTTGAGAGCTGTAATATATTCTTGGCCTTTCTACCAATTGGGTATTAAAAATGCATTCTTACATGGTGATCTTTGAGAAGAAATTTGTATGCTACTAGCATGCTTGTTGAAGAAGGCAACATATGGGCTTAAGAAATTGCCTCTGGCTAGGTTTGACCAGCGTACAAGCAAAGCTAAGTTGATCACAGATTATTTGTGAAGACTAATGCACAGGCTACAACAGCATTAATTGTTTATGTATATATTGTGCTCAATAGGAATTTTCATGTGGAGATTAAGAATCTCAAACAATATTTTTCCACTGAAATTGAAATTATAGCCCAAAGAAATTTAAAATACTTCTTAGGTATTAAAGTGGCTAGACTGAACAAGGGAATATTCATTTCAGAATATAAGTATACTTTGGACTTGTTGAAAGAAACAAGAGAGCTTAGGGATAGACCAGATAAAACTCCCATCGATTTAAACCACAAAATAAATGTGAATGACGGTGAGTTATTAGTTAATGCTGAAAAGTTTCAGAGATTGGTAGGACAGTTGATCTACTTATCATTGACAAGGCCTGATGCCTTGTATGCTGTTGAGGTTCTGGGTCAATAATCAATATACACATGCTCCTCATAGCTCACATCTTGAAGCAGTAGAAAGGATTTTGGGATACCTGAAGTCTACTCCAATAAAAGGTCTTTTATTCACCAACAGGGGTCACCTACGTGTTGAAGCCTACACAAACACAAATTGGAAAGGCTCAACAGATGTAAGAGATTGCCATCCAACTACTGCACAATAAAGGTTGAAACGAGTCTTGGCTGATTTCGGAGCATGTGTGTATCAGCCCCTGAGGTTGTATCGTTTTAACAAGGCTGCCATTAACATTGCCCACAATGCTATCAAAAACTGTACCAAGCACATTGAAGTATATAAACATTACAGCAAGGAAAAGGTTGAAGCATAGGAAATCTACTTACAATATCAGTCTACTAGTAATAAATTAGTAGGTTTCTTGACAAAAGAAGTTATAAACAAACTAATTAAAATTTTTAGCAAGTTGAGATTAATTTGGCAAGAATTCCATTGATAATGCAATGGGGACGTGACTCAACAGCGAGTTAACTTGGGCCAGGTTAGGTTAGGTTGAGGTCAAACCTTTTTTTTTTTTTTTTGATCAATAACTTTGAAACTTTTATTGATTAAATACTTTAGGATACAACAATAAGTTACAAAAGAAATCAGCATAGTAAGCTGACCCAGTACAGAATTACAAATGTGCCCAAAACATATATGTTCTTTGAACCCCTTGCTTTGCTAAGCTATCTGCCAAACTGTTGGCAGATCTCCTTACCCATCCCACCTGAATWSAYRT